TTAGTACTTAAATTGAAAAATATGCAATTGAGCATGAAAATTAAGATACTTAAGAATAAGAAAAGCATCCATAACAAATACTGGAAACTTCAAGAAATATGACAGAGATTTAAAAACTGTAAAAATCAAGAATGGAAACAAAATGACATAAAGACCAAAGGTCAGAGAGGTGAAACAAGATTAAAAGAACTGTTTTTCCTTATAGAAGAATGAAAAGGATCTTAGCGAGATTGAATTTGATTGCACAGATATAACAAAAGCAACTGGAAGCTTTCACTACCTATTTCTGTACAGTATATGGAGAAATAATCAGATGATGTAATTATATCATAGGGCTATGATGAAACATTCTCCATTACAAATGTAGAGCCAGGTAAGTATCATAAATCGTAGCCACTAAAAACAACTGAGTAAATCTGCATATCTGGATAACTTGTATTGCAGTATTAAAACAGCTGGAAAAGTCATTTTGAGGACTGTATGAACCCTTGAAATCTTTGCATTCATTACCAGAACTGAAAAATAAAAACCAACTGAAATGTAAATGGGAAATGTTAAGTGAATTTTATCCTATGGCACTGGGTTTTGGCCATGTGCTGTATAACTGTTTTATTGATTACCAGCAAACAAACAAAACAAAAACAAAGACAAAGTCACTGGTAATAACACCGAAACACTGGAAGACAGCAAAGACAAGGGAAGTAGTAACTCACAAAGAGGGTGTTGGTACTGGGTAATCTGGTAAATGGTCTGCAAGCAAATGCATGATGTTATACATCTAAGAATAAAGAACAGGTGTTTATCCTAGAAATGAGGAATCTATGTGGGAATGCAGCAGAGTAGAAAGCAGAGCTGATAGGAGCCTGCTAGATAACCAGCCAAGGATGAACTACATTGCAGCACACAGAGGCCAGCGCACCATTTCAATCCATCAGTGTGGAAAGAGAAGTGTTATGATGTTAGAGGCAGGTTGAATCACATCAGCACCTGGTGCTGACGTGACTGGTTCTGGAACAGTGTGTTCTGGTTGATGCTTGTAGGAGAAGCCTATTGCTAAACTGGAAAGAGTTCAGAAAAGGGTCAGAATAATGATTATGCTCTAATAGGAAAGTCAAAGCCACACGTATTTAGCTTATCAAAAAGAAGCCTAAGGAGTGATGTGATCATAGCCCATAATTTATTTTTTTTTCTCATCATATTGAAGTCTTCATTTTCAAGTTTTAAAGCAGCACAACTTTCTTTGTTCCCTCTCAGGTTTTATTCATTTTTGTGTCCACTAACATTACAAAAAATGGCAGTTCTGGGACTTGGTGAAAACTACATCCAGACACTAGATTTTGTCAGGTAGAATTCTCCCTATCTTTCAATTAGTGATGGAGCTCACTTAAGTAGTCTGTTTAGATATTCATAGGAAAAAAAGAAAAGAAAAAAGAAGGAAAAAAAAAAAGAAGAAAGATTTAGCAAAGTAAAAAATAAATGTGAGGAATAACAGGAAGTTTAAAAAAAGGTCGTGTTAACAGCACTGTAGGGAAACAGCACAGTGCAGAAACAAGTTTGTCATGAAAATGAAAAGATGAGTTTAGTAATACTGGATTAATTTACACCACCCTAATAGTCTACATGTGGCACAGGGCTGTAAGAAAGTTCTGTATTTACTTTAAAATGCATACTATTTCTGGATCAGAAGCACATAATTCAGCATATTGGATTTTAAATGTTGCACGTAATTGTTTTACTTGCAGAATCTACAAATTCTAACTGTCCACACGTATTGCACCAGCCTGTATAAAGTACGTCAATCCAAGGACATCGGTTATGATCTAATAAAGACATCTAGAAGAGCTGCGGGTCATTTGGAAAAATGACAGCCACTAAGGCTTGAATGGGCACCAGGTGAGAAAACGAGACTCAGAAAACACTGGGAGATTCTGAAGTGATTTTTGAAAACAGCACTTACTATGTTATCACTGAAGGCTCTGGGTGTTACATAATTGTTTTAACCAGGAAGGAGAAGAGATGGCCCAGAACAGCATATCCCAGCTGATCCCATGCTAATTTCATATTAGTTCAGCTTCATTTATTTACTGGAGAAACCAACAAGGATGGAAATGGAATCAGCCCAGCGATGTAGGATCCATTAGAGGTTTCAAGGTGAATTTTCAGAACTTTTGAATTACCATTTTGACAATAAAATGTTGTTCTTCTGCGGCTTATTGGCCTGCAGAAGAAGTAGGAAGTTGTAGAAGTATTACCAGTAATTCTGTCTCACCGCAGTACTGTGAAGGGCTGCCTGTACCTTCAGAAGTGGACACTGCTCTGGAGTTTTAATTCATGTTCCCATTTCTTTCTACTTCTTTTGCATCCTGTGTTATTTTTGAAGCAGTAAAATCACTTCAGTTCCATCCACAGTCTTGATCAGATGCTGTTAAAAGACAAACAGCTAACTTTCAAGCAGATACCCCTAAGCTACACATACGTACCTGAAATGATAAATAACCCAGCTTTGTGTGTACATTTTATTAATGTATTCTTAATTCTTTGCTGCTGGTGTTCTTCAGAGCCTTTGAGAAGCACTGATCTGTGACCCTGCTTCAATATGGGGATTTTGCCACAGGCAAATGCATAACAAATTATTTCTAGGAGGAGGTGCCATATTGTTAGATCAAAAAGTATACTTTCCAGATATATCTGACATATTCAGTCCGACATATTTCCTAAACCGCCACACTTTTTCTGAGTTGGTAATTCCTGTAACATAGATTTTGATTTTGTGTAACAAAAAACAGATAAGCTAAAAATCCCTCTTTTTTTTTTTTTTTTTTTTTCCTTTTCTTTCTTTTCTTTTTTTTTTTTTTTAAAGAATAACTTAGGTGTGCACAATGGTAATAATTTAATGGCAGAAAGTCAGATATTTTTTTTCCTGGTAGTATGATCTAATTGAGCAAAATGCAGGGTAACTTACTAAAGAAAATGAACATGTCAGACAAGAATTTACACACACACAAAAACCCCATTCCTGAGAAAGCTGTCATGGTACGTGCAGCAGTATGGAAAGCACGTGAAAGGAAAAGTGATTCCAGGACATCGGATGGGATAGCTATATACCCATAAAAGCTGAACATATAAATACAGTCATGCTAAAATCTTACAAATGGAATTTGTCTGGGACAAATAGCTAGACTTTTTGGCATAAACTAAAAATAAATTTTAAAACCACAAATTGCCAAAACTACATCTCTGTTTTCCTAAATAGAATGGCATCTTCAATTAGCCCACTCTTAGATCAGAATTTATTTTAAGAAAATATCTATTCAGTTTAATTCATTCTTCTTCTTGTCAAGCTACATTTAAGGTCTTCTAAACATAATCTTATATCTTTTAACTAGGACACTGGAGGCTACCTTTTACTCACTAAACAAAAAATAAGATACTTCACTTTTCAATGAATTTACATTTGGATGTATTCAAATCTTGCCTATAGAAAGAAGGGTTAAAGCCACATACTTAATGTATGAGATGTTCCAATTCCATGACATCACTGCAAATTACTCAAGAGGGTGCCATTGGGTTCATAGAAAATGGAGCTGGATTTGACATTGTCTTATCCAAGCTTATTTCCAGAGATACTTCAGCTGATGGGAAGCACAGGCCATCATTGATGGAGTAATGCAAAGGGATACTGGTGGATCCCCTTAAGGTGGAAGCCACTTGGAGAACTGTGTGGTTGAACACTTGGAAAACCTACCAGTCTTGTTTGAAGAAGATAATGGATCTGCCACTGGCAGACTAAAAGCCTCTACAGGAGAAAGGAAAGGAAAATGTCTATAGAAAAGGATGGAGGTAGGGCAAAGGACGAAGGGTGCAATTTAACTACAGATCCTGCAAGACAAGGAATATGGCTGCTATGAGAGGGAGCAACATGTCAAATTGATGTTAATACATAGATAAATCCAAGTACAAGAGGAAAAGCTTCTTGCAAGACTCCTGGGAAGACCTATCCACTGTAGGAACAGTACAGAGCTACAGAAGGAAAATGCTTTGCTTGAAGTTAGCTATCTAGTCCTGTTAGGGTGTGTACATCAGTGAAACCACATGGATGTTGTTTGAATTAGAAAAAATCAACATCATCAAAAAGAGAGACCCAATTAGAACATCAAACTTGCTATTGGCAATTAAGCAATTGAAATAACCTACTGCAACTTCCAGTGTGCCACAGAAGATATGCTCTCAACAGCATTAATCAGAGTACATCCAGAATCTGCCACCAAGGAGGTTCAGGTTGGATATTAGGAAAATTTTCTTCTCAGATCAGACTGCCCAGGGAGAAAGTGGAGTCACCACACCTGGAGGTGTTCAAGATCCATGGAAATGCGACACTGAGGGATGTGGTTAGTGGGCATGGTAGAGTTGGGTTAATGGTTGGGTTAGATGATTTTAGGGGTCTTTTCCAACCTTAAAGATTCTACGATAGCACCTGCTCTTATAAAATCTAAGGGAATTAGGCTGGATTAGCCTGGGAACAGCTTACAGGGTGTGTAGCAGCTCTCCACTGCTTTTGAGGAGGCTGCCATGCAGATGGGGCCAAGCACTTCACAATGGTGCATGCAATGGTTGTAGACATGAGACAAGCTGAGGCAAGGCAGGCTGTAACGGAATGGAAGGAAACCACAACAGCAGCTGAGCACAGGCTGCCCAGAGACGCTGTGCAGCCCCTGGAGGTTTGCAGGGTGAGACCACCACTTCAACCCCTAAGAGACCTGCTGGGATCTCAGAGCTAACCCTGCTCCGAGCTGAAGGTTGCACCAGAGACCTTGTCAGGACCGTCCCTGTGATCTAATGCTCACAATGCTTATGAATGATCACAGCCCACGGGCTTTTAGCAGTCCGAGCGCCAGCGGTGCTCAGCCCCTTCCCACCTCCGCCTCTCAGCAGGCGTCCCCTGAAACTTTCCCCGGCAGCCTGCGCCCGCCTTCCTCCCGCCTTTGGGGAGAAAGGGAGGGGGGACAGAACCACTCTCCCGCTCCCTCCGTGCAGCGGGGACGGAGAGGCGGGCAGCCTGCCTTCCCTCCTCCCTCCGCCCCGGCTCGCCAGCCCGCCCGCCGAAGCCTCACCGAGAGGCTCCCGCATTGCACCGCCGTGCCCCCGCTCCCCTGCCGCCGGTATGAGCGCCGGTGAGGCGAAGGAGTATCTTGCCCGCAGGGAGATCCCGCAGCTTTTCGAGGTAGGAATAGCGGGGCTGGGTGTTTATTGGGGGCGGGGGGCTGAAGGTGGCTGGAAGGACGGAGCCGCACCGCTGCAGGCTGGACCCCCACCCCGGGGCGCGAGTGCTGCCGGGCGGTAGGTATGAAGGCGGCAGCCCCGCAGCGCCCCCGGCCCGGGGTGGGGGGCAGCGGCTGCCCTCGTTCAGCCCCTCGGGAGGGAGCAAACTCTGGCTTCTTGCAAGTTACCTGCTGCTAATGATCGGTGATTACTTCTTCCCAATGCAGTATGGATTTATATATGTATATATCTGTATTTTTTTCAGGAGCAGGCATCCCGCCTTCTATATAAAACGCACACATATGCCTTTTCCATAGTCTGTTCCGAAGCAAGACATTGTTCTCTGTGTGTTTGGAAATGACAGGGTGTAGAGCATGGTTACATTTTGCAGACACACTGAAAATGTGAATGCTTTAGCAAGAGATGCAGATCAAACTGTTTTTCCTATACAGGCGTAAGGCTGGTGCTAGCAATTTACAGTAATGGTGCACATCTGCAAAAATACATGGCTAGTTGCTGTGGTCAGGTAAGTCAAATAATGCCTAGATGCATATACATTGTACCCTATTTTATAACCACAAACCTATTTAAGTAGACTCACTCATTGTATGAACTGTAGATAATAACTGAACAAATCCTGAATCAGAGCTCTTTATGACTAACATCAACTATGACCCTCAGAGCATGTGCACACAGATTGGGAAAAACACAAAGGAAGAGAAACCACCCTGTCACATTTATTGTTTGGAGCAGGTTGGATGCAGTTGTCTTGTGGGGAGGTGAGATGGTGACCTATGTATCACTTTGTCAAGGAAAATCAATTCCCATGCGTCAGAGGAGGGCCTAGCATTCCTTCTTCCACACACTCCACAATGCTTGTTGGCACAATGAGTGTGGAATGAATGGCACAGACAGGGATTTTCTAATGGTGGGGAATTTCCACTCTGTGTGAACTTTGGGTTTGGGTTTTTTCTCCAATACTTACCAAGATGAGGAGTGGGCAATTCTCATGATTTTAAAAAATCTTTTTTAATTATTTGTTAAACTGTTGACTCAGGAATATTATTTTATACATTAAAATACAAAATACGTATTATACCAGTGACTGAACTCACTTTCATCAAAAATATACATTTTAGTGATTTAACAGAATACACAGTGTACATAAATGGGTTTTTTTGGCTCATGCATTGCTGTACATATATTTGCCAGTGGCAGGTCTAAGAAAATTTAAGGACATTATTTTAAAAACTATTTTCCATTTCCATTTTGATGCAAACAGACAAGTATAAAGACATAGCCATAAGGGCCTGTTCTGAATCATTTTTTGTGAGACCGGCATGCTCAAATCATGTAATCTATGCAGGCCTCAGTCTCATGTATTGGATTGAATGGGAAGTCTATAAGAAATACAGAATTTCTCTGTGCAAGGTCGAATTCAAAGTATAAGTGGTTCTTTCTTCTTATCATCTATCATTATTGTATGTATTTCTGATCTGACATTGCAGAGTCTGTTGAATGGATTAATGTGTTACAAACCTGATGACCCTATTGAATATTTGGAAGGCTGCTTGCAGAAGGTGAAAGAGCTTGGAGGATCAGAAAAAGTGAAATGGGACACTTTTGTCAGCCCAGAAAAGAAGACTCTGCCTCCACTCAATGGAGGACAATCGAGGAGATCTTTTTTCAGAAATGGTAATGTATTAAGTATGAAAATATTTGTGTTTTCTGTATTATGAATGGTTTTACATCCACTATTGAATTATTTTATACTCACATCTGTAGCAGACCGAGCCTCATTCTGATCTTCTTTAGGCAAAGGATTAAGTTTTCTGTTCACTTGGGTTTTCACATTTGGGTTTCTCCTCCTGTAACAAATGTTATGTGAGAGAGGAAGTTGTAATCCTTTTGCAGCCTGATAATGCATGTTTGCTGTGTAAATGCTTAACACATTAGTGGAGAGGTTTCTCATACCCTCCTTAAAATATTTGCAAAGACAAGATCAAAGCTCTCTTAATGCATTTGGCTTATGTTTTTGATTGGTTCTTATGGGTAACATATGTACCAACTTCACTGCATTTACACTTTGCCTAATTTATATTGAAGCTATATGCAGAATGTACTAAATATGATGCAAACTACAAATTCTTAGAAAAAGATGCTTCTCATAAAGTCAAGCAAATGTCATTATCAATACCTTTAATTATTTTATTTGTAATGTTAACAAGGAGTAGTTAGCTTGTCTTTCAGTTGCCATAGTTATTCTTCCTTGCCATCCAGCAGTTCATTAAACTAATTAGCAAGAATACTATTTTATCTCTGTGTACAACATGTATCACCAGAGGAGTTCTGCTTAGCAGTACAGGCTGTCTGCATAACACAAGCTTCCTCTTCTCAGAGGCCACTGCCAAACTCTGGGTGCTAAGAACAGATTTTCACAGAAAAGCTGAAATGTTTGTAAATTTAAGGAAACACCAAGGAGAATGGACTCTTAGTGGTTCCAGTGTAATAAATCAGATAACCAGAGGCAAGGAATACAGTAACAGCAAGCACATTGTAAAATGAGAAAATACTGTATTTTTTATTACAGTAAAGCTAGTCTTTATGCCTTATGCTTATTTATTATCTTTAAATCTGTGTACAGAATAGGTTTTCAATTTTCTGTATATTTGCACGATTCCCAGTTTATCTTACTATTTTACAGTGATGCCTGATAATTCTAACTTCCCTTACCGACGGTATGACCGACTCCCTCCAATCCAACAGTTTTCTATAGAAAGTGACACCGACCTTTCTGAAACTGCTGAGCTAATTGAGGAATATGATGTGTTTGATCCTGCAAGACCTCGACCAAAAATTATCCTTGTCATAGGTATGAACACAGACTCATTTTGACAACATTTTGTCTTCCCTGCTTTGACTTTTTACTTGTTCTGCAAACACAGCAGGTGCCTGCTTGTATTTAAATGCAGGTATTCTGTCTGCTCTGCAAGTGGTGCAGCCCAATTAGAGTGAATCAGAAGGAGAAATTGTTAGTGCTGAGGCCATAACATATAACTTCCAACTGCTAGCATTATAATGGAGTTACCAAGAGCATTTCTGGTCCTATTCTGTAGCTTCAGTGTTCATTAGTGGCTGGAGTGCCTATGGTTTACTTTTGGAGCATATCTGCTGGTACCTAAAATGATTCCCCAGGTCCCCATGTGAATCAAAGTGCTCTTCCTTTGGATCTGAACTGAGACACCTGATGCAGATGTACCCAAAGCTGCTCACAAAAAAAGAGGGACTATTTAAAATAATGGATGAGCCAGTTCAAATAGGGGATAGGAAATGCTGTCCTCTATATTTAGAACCTTAAAAACTGATCATCAGGCCAATCTGGGCTGAGTGTATACTATCTGCATTGCATAGCATTCATAAAGTAATCTCTAGATCTATTAGCAAGTGAATCTTGTGCCAACTTCAGAGAGACAGAGCCCTGAAAGAGTTAATTGTGCTGTCTCTCCAGGTTCTCTCTTGTGTGCTGTTTAGTGCCCTTTCTAAGCAACTCCTGTTTTCCAGCCTCAAACAATCATGCTATTTATTAAGAGGTAACTGTAGTTTAAGGCTAAATCAATGTTTTCTTCTTTGGCTGAATTTTAGTTGTTTGAATTAGTTTCTTTGTCATCTGAGGTGGTTGCCTTTCTGCACTGTTTAAATAGGTACAAGCACAGGTATCAGGAGATAGAGGATAACATTTTTGTCTATAAATCCTTATTTATACTAAAAAGAGAGATTTTCTATGTAACAGAGAACAGCAAAAAACAGAAGAGAAGTGTCTTCCCTGCATTATAAAGTGGGATCTCTAGGAGCAGAATGTGCTTCAGGGTCTGCATCCAGCAGTCCTCAGACATGTGACAGTTGAATACACCGCAAACAGAAAAACAGGCATTTTTCTAAATACTTGTGGTATGCCAAAAGAATGGCTTAGACATTTACACTGCCTTCATATTTTGTTTCTGAGTGACAAATGACAACAGGCAAATCTCTCCACGCACCACTGAACTATCAAGTTCATGTTAGATGGAGAAAGACCACATGCCCTTCATTCATCTTAATTAATTAGCTAGCCTTCTTTTTAATAGGGAGAAAAGCTGTCTCTTTTTCAGTGACCACAAAAGTCTCTCATGCACTGAAATTTGCATCACTCTATTACAGTAGAGCAATGAATGAAGACTGGATCTAGACAAAAGAAAGAGGTTGGCTTTCACCTCTGGAACTGAGTGCAGGAGTATTTAAAGTGAGATCCTTGAACACCCGCATATAGTAAGCAGAGCGTGGATTTTGCAGAAGTTTTCCCCCTTTTATATAGAGAACATTGAAAACATCCCACAAAGGCTATTTCAGGTTTATTTTTCAATTGAGTTTCTCTGAATCTGTCTATTATAGTGTGATCTGACAGCAGCACAACAATATACGAAGCTTAACAGCTACTGTCCAATTTTATACAATATCAAGAAAATGTCTCCCAAATTCAACTTTGTATTGAGAAAGCACATAAAAACATAAATGGAAAGTATAAAAGAAAGAAAATGAAAAAAAAAGGCCACTATGTATTTCAAGAGACAAAAGTTGTACACAAAAAAATGTTTTGCATACTTCTCAGTTTGCATAAAATGCCCACTAAAGTTCCAGTTAAGCAATCTATTTATAATGGACTAGACTTCATTTACCTTACTGCCTAGCTGCTATGACACTTGTTCCATTCATTGTTGGAGATTGAAACAAACAACACTTAAGGAACTGTCTTCTGCTTCACATATTAGTGAACTTTAATAATGCATTAACTCAATATCTTCTTAATGCTTCCATTAAGGTTTTTACAGCTTCTTCACTTTATGAAATTTATCACGTATGTAATGCATCAAGCAGCCCATATGAGTGGGATTTTGGTTCTTTTTTTACATTTGCAGAAAAGTCTGCTGATGAAATGTAAAGCTGCAAATTGAGTATGTGAAAAATCAGGTAGAATCCGCCAGGATGGTATGCATCTAAATTAATGGAAAATTAAGTTTCTAGAACATTATAGCACTAGGAAACAAGATTGTGTTTTAAAAATGTGCTTCCTAATGTCTTTTGAGGAATAATTTTTTACTGTTGATACAATCTGGATACCTTAAAAATTTCTCTGATGTTACTAGCTACATTGTGCACTACCTTTTAAACCGCTGTTTTTAAAATGCATTTAGTGAAAAACATTAGTTAATATTAAATGAAGTTTTCATTTAATAAGAAAAGAGTCAATCAAAGTTAGAGCTGTCGATAGTTGGTGACCCTTTCACTTGTTAAATTCAGTCCACAGCTTCATACAGGATTGTGATTTTCCTGACAAAATTGTCAGGAATCTTAAGTACTTGAGTTTAATTTGAATTTGCAACATTGTAAGCAAGGTCAAAAGTTTGAACTTCTATCACATTAAAACAGCTGCCTTAGTAAAACTTTTTGGGCATAACAAGCATCACTTAAAATCAGTTAGCAAACATAATCTTAGATGCAACAAATGTTCTCTGGTCTGGAAATCTAAGAAGTAGTCATGCTTTTCCTTAATAATGTATAATCTCAGAATTACTGGAAATAATGAAAAAGAAAAGTGATTTGATTTTCTTTTCTAGTGTACAGTTTGCCAGTATGATTTATGTGAGTGAAAAACAGAAATTATAATGATTTGCTGTGAGAATTAATTTTGTCTGATCACTTTTCTTTCATAACCTGTTTCCCATTGGGTTGTAAATGGATAACCCCAGTTTGCTCTGAAGGAATATTCTTTTGGATTGTAAAAAATGTGATTTGTGAGAGGTTTATGAACATTAAAGCAAATCTTTTCTCTCTCTTTTTTTTTTTTTTTTTTTTTTTTTTTTTTATGCTTGCAAATTTGAAGTGAAAGAAGTGTCAGTCTACACCTTTTTTTCTGCTTCTCTTTCATGACAAAGGAAATCTCTCCCTTACAGAAACACGAGATCTGCTTGGTTTCAAAAAGTTCTACTCATTTTTTTTCCAGCTCTTTTAGGCTTTTACAGAGACTGATGTTTTCCAAGAAACAATTTCTCTTTTTCTGGAATACAACTCCACTGTCATTATTTTCCTTGTTCTCAAATTTTCTACTGCTTCTAATTTTCTACATATAAGCTATTTATGTTTTGAATCTTTCTTTTCCTGAAGTGCAAGACAGTTTGTTTCAAACTGGTCTAACATCCTCGGGGAAATAAACTGAATTTTCATCTTTGAAAGAATGTTTTATATCTGCAAGGATTATGCACAGCACTGGATCCAGTATGTTTTACAAACCCTTTGTTTCAAGGCAGTCACAACCTACTGCTGCTTATGTCTGGTAGCTAGTATTATTGGGGAAAAAAAAAAGCCACATAAATTAATACAAGTAAGTGGTACACTCGAACAAACACATAATAGAATATACAGAAAATATTGTAGACATTACTTATGTTATGCACATTAGATTGCAGTATGTGACTTTATATATATAGCTTACAGAAATCTTTACACAGAGTGAGTAGACATTCTTGTACGTACTTATTCACCTGGCAGTATCTACTCCATGCAAACCAGCAGCAATCAGCTGGCAATTAGCAGTACTTCTCTGTGCTGTGCTTTTCATCTACCTAGGGAAAAGCTGGGAATCCACTACTGCAAACCCACTATTGTTCCAGATTACCAAGAGCCTGTAATAAATTGCAAACAACATAGTATTATCTTGTTAGAACATCTGTATCAGGTATGGTTTTGATACAGGAGCAAAACAGAGCATAAGGTTTGGTGAATGTCATGGAGAAGGCTGAGCGTGCCATCAGAAGGAGCTGATGAGAGCCAAAGCAGAGCTGCTTTGTAGCCACTTGGGTGGATTGTTATATACGTGATTCCTGGTTAACAAATGCTTGTATGTCTCAAAAAGGAAACATTCTTTATTCTAACAAAGAGGATAGCTGAAAAAAAAATAGATCACCTAGAACACTTGACATTCAAGAATAGCTGTAAAGCCTAATTTAATCTACAAAAAGGAGAAAGCTTGTGCCTTGTTAGGCAAGAGAAGTACCTGATTTGAGTTTCAACAGCACAGCAGAGTTACCAGCACAGTCAGGGTGCAGAAACATTGCTCATGGCTGCTGGTGGCACTGAAAGCCCTCTGCCATGGAATGCTACAATACAGGTTTGAGCCTGGGTATACAGAGTGTCATAACTGTGTAGGAAGAAATCCTGGAAATCTTGTTCTACAGCCAGATCTGTATTAATTATATAAATCTCTAAAATCTATTTATGGGAATTATGCAGACAATGATAAGAAAGAGTTCTATTATTACTAGAAGGCAGCTCGTTGTATCCATATTTACTTTTCTCACATTGCTGCACTTTTTTAATGTTCAGGGAAAATGTGTAGTATATTTTTACTAAGACTAATTCCTTGTTTGTTGAACTAAAACTCAATGCTCTCATGCAAAAGATGCTCCCAAAATAGCTAGTTAGTGTTGGGAGTTAATATCAAAACACTTGTTTTGGTTTTAATTTTGTATGCTATTTAGTAATATGCATCTTTCTGTAAGTAAGTATTTATTTCTATCAAAACCATTCCCTGTTCTTACACACCGGGTTCCAGTTTCAATGTTCCTCACCTCTTATCACATTCTATTAATTCAGATCTGTTCTGTCTTTTTTAAACATGTATTCTTGCTTCTCTGTCCAAGTGACCCTCACCTCAGCATTCCCTATTGTTTAACGTGGTTGTGATTTTGATATCTATTCTGCCTGCGTTCCACTGAAGGGTCTCTTTATTCTTCAAGTTGTCCAGCAAACTGAACCTGACAAATTGCTTCTCTACCAGATGCTTCAGGCATCAATACCAGAAGTACGCATAGTTCAATAAGAAGCCATCTACCAAATTACTGTGGAAACATCTCAGTTGATAATTTAATATTTTTCTGTATTTTAAAATTATGAAACCTCAGAAACTCATATTTAGGAGCAGATTTTATTAGTTCAATTTTTTGAGTAGTCCATTGATTTCACTGCTTTATTTAAACAGGTATGATTCTGCCATAAGTAAACAAGGCTATCTGAATCTACCTTTGGATTCAAAGAGTTCAGAGGAGACTGATTTGTACTCCTTCGTAGTTTTAAAAACTGTTACCTTTATAACGGGGTGGATGAGACCCCTTTCTAATGACTGGTAACAAATCATGCAACTGCAAGGTGTGTTCTGGTACTGGAGGATTGGTGCTTATAGCAGAGATTTCTCATATGACTGAGTACTTAGGATGACAGTTTAATTTAATGCTTTGCTTATTCTTAACAACAGGTGGCCCAGGAAGTGGTAAAGGAACACAGAGTTTGAAAATAGCAGAACGCTATGGATTTAACTACATATCAGTTGGTGAATTGTTAAGGAAGAAGATCCACAGCACAAGCAGCAATAGAAAATGGAGTCTAATTGCTAAAATAATTACTACTGGAGAACTAGCCCCTCAGGTACAGCAGAGTTAAGCCTATCCTTTGTTAATGTCTACTTTTTAAGGATTTGTATGTGCTATCTTAATGTGCACCATCAAGGAAACCTACTTCACAATACTGAATAAACTTCTTTTCTCTGTGAAAGGAAACAACCATAACTGAGATCAAACAGAGATTAATGCAGATCCCTGATGAAGAGGGTATAGTGATCGATGGATTTCCCAGAGATGTTGCCCAGGCAATCTCCTTTGAGGACCAAGTAAGAGATTGTTTCTGTTTATTTTACTGGTATTTCTTTAACAGGCTCCTCGAAATTCCAGGAAAGACTACACACTATTTCTAATTGAGCATTGCTCTTTAAATCTTTGCAAGTATGTAATTACAGACTAAAAGAAGGTCATTCTTTTGGTTTATGCTATGGAGCGTGAAGACAAAGTATTTGTAAAAAGAAAATTTAATAACATAACCAATAATCCAAGCCTCCTGCTTCAGTAATTAAAATCCTCTCATGATGTATGAAAGTAACATAAAATCTAACAATTATTTTTTATACATATTAGTGATTTAGAAAGCGTGTATTTCCATATCTAAATGTTCAGTTTAATCTACATTAAGAGAAACATACTTATATCAATGCATATATTCACAATGCATTTAGCCTCATATTACTGCTGTGCATTGAAAAGACTGGAATAACATTGCCTGTTTCACAGGTTTTCTGAACCAGAAATGATGTGGGTTTTTTTTAAGTCACTTGGGTTATTATAAATTACACTCCTAGGATTTAGTCAGCTGAAAGCGTATTTGTGAATTCTATTCAGATGTTATTTTTATATGTATATTTTAAACTCATCTAAAAATACTTAAATTCAGTGGAGAAAAAACAGGCTATGTCATTTTCTTACTAAGTGCTGTTAACGTAACGGTTATGGTCACAAGTAATGGTTGCAGTTTCAGTGCTGCATTTTCAGACCGCCTCTCAAGCAGAGCATTTCAAAGTACCTCACAATTGCTAGCATACGACCAGTTCTGTACTTTGAATTCTAAATGGCATTGCCAAGACAGAAGTAACAAAAGGAAGCAGTTAACGAGGCATTTCATTAATGTGCTTTTATAAAGTAGTATTGTGGGTGAAATTTAGAAGACTGGTTTGAGGAAATTAAACGAAATACATAAAATAGTTATTATAGAAAAGAGCCAATGACTGCCAGCTGTATCTCCTTATAATTAATGAAAGAGATGATTGATTATTTTATAAATGAAACACAGAGCATAAATTTAGACATTTCCTTGTCTCATTTTTATCTCCAGTATATTTTGTGATAGCACGACTTAAGTGTATTTCTTGGTACTCTAATTTTGTGCTGATGTTATGGTTGATGAAAGAACAAGGGGGAGGAATGAAAGTGGAAGAACTGACAGGATCTGAATTATTGAGTGCTTCAGGTTATTAAATTCTCCCTTTACAAAGGAAAAACAGTTAAACATCACTTGAGCACCCATCATAGGATCCATTAGAAAACCAACTAACAAGTGGAATCCAGGATGTATTAGAAAAAGCTCTGGCATACCACACCATGGAAGGGGAGAAAGATTAAAACTATTTAATGTATGCTTGGGCTCTCTCACTGAATCATTCAAATACGCTTTTCCAGTATTTCCTAATTTAATTTATCAGATTCCCCTCTACAGATTTGGTTAGCCCTTATTGATTATATAAGACAACTTGATAAAATACTGATAGAAAGATAAAAAGCCTGACTTCTGCTCCTTTTTAGTATCTTCCATTTCTTCAAGAATGCTGTAGATTGGTCATATTTTTCTGGAGACAAGAGAGAATGTATGTAGTCATTTTAGACTTGATTATATTCTCAGATAGTTCGTTCATTTTCAGTCTAATGTGATTTGCTAAATCGTCCTCCTCAAGGCCTGATTCTGCCTGAAAGACAGATGACTGGGGCGCTCTAAAGAAAATCCCACGGCACTTCATAAAGGGTCACCTTTCAATCTTACCTGCTCCAAAATCAATATGGGGAAAGAAAGAAAAATTGTTCTACTTAGACTATCTTCCGATTTAATCTATCCTTGCAGCTGACCTTGTATATGAATATGTCTAAGGCCATAGAAGTAAATATAGAAAAAGGAGGTACATATTTCAACATACACTTTTTTAATCCAGTGGAGTATGTCCAGTGTTTCATATCGACTTCATATTTACAAAAATAAAATGTTTGCTGTTTTTTAAAATCCTCTGTTTAGTAAGCCATAACCTTGCTCACATACGGATGGTCTTGTGATAAAGGAAGAGAAGTACCAGCAGACATGGTACTTGTCTTTCCTCACACAATGGGGCTGGCAGTAACCCAGGGCGTGTCAAATTATTTACGTTAAACATGTTAACATTTTTAAGCAACTCAGAGATCCCTCAATGAGAAGTGTAATTGAGTTGTGGAGGATTCAGTGATTAACTGTTGTGATGATTTGTGTAAGTCTGCAATTAAAAATGCAGCAGGTGTTTTCCACAGCTTAGAAATGTTATCCCTTTCTTCCTCGCAGTGTGTTTTTATGATTTATAATGAGCAAGAAGCAGAATTTGTCTCATTATCCAAAACTGACAATATGAGAAATAATTAATGGAAATTTCAGGAAAGAAAGATTTGATTAAATAATAAGACTCTTTCTAATTAGAAGACCTATTAAGCCGGGAAGAAAATAGAGAAATACCACAAAATGCAAATAGACAAACCACATTATTCAGTAATTCATATACCCTATTCTTACAAAGACTTCACCTGTAGAATATTGAAATGTACTGATAAAAAGTTCTGAATAAAAATCAATCCTTATTCTCATTACCATCAGCTTACACAGGGACTAACACTTATTTTACGGATGGTCACTTTAAGACCATCCAATACACTACAGTAAGTAGCCACTTTTTAGGACCATTGCATATTTATATGCCTGAAAAAAGAACATTTTATAAGACACAAGCCATAATAAAGGTTACTTTTAGCGAACTGTCAAGAGATACTTGAAGTATCTGTATAATGTTTTCCCTTATTAAGTGATCTCTTCACTGTAGCTAATTGTTTTCATTACAATGTTCTAAAATTAAATCATATCCTTTAGAATAGTGATTTAACAGTTTTATTTGTTCTGTGAAGCAGACAAGGGTGACTATTAGTTCACCTTCATCCTTTGTGTGTACTGGGATGTATATTTATCTGTAATTCCATAAAAGCTTTAAATAAGCAAACAAACATTCATTTTACCAGGAGTACTTTCCACTGTATAGCCTTTCTCCTTTGCCCTTATTTACATAGACAGAAAAAACACTCCAAGCATATAATTAATAATACCAAAAATAAATTGCAGGGGGAGAATGTGAAGGACAAATTATTAAACCTAATGGAAGTAGAGGTGAGTAATACAGGATACTGAGAGAATAGCTTAAGTTCAAACACAGACTGAACAAATGTAAGGAGAATCAGAGGTCTGCAAACAAAGCAGGCTGCGAAAACTAAGAGTAATTACAGACCAAGCAAGCATATCTGGTCTTTATTAATCACAAGAAGTCTATATTGTTTTGTCCATATGCTTTATATAATTTTAATCTAAGCTACACAATCTCCCCTTTCTCTGCCTCTGCATATTATGGATGATGAACTGGAAGGTATAAAATCTGAACTGCTCCCAGAAACACTGTAATTCCTTGAACTCTACTTACCAAACATTTTCATATATGTTATTACATTGCTCTCACTATTAAGAAGTGTGCTGAGTTACTGCAAAGATAAACTAATTTATATTGGAAGTGGTTCAACATATTAATAGCCAGCAGAAAAGGATAAAGTTAGCTAAGGTACCTGGTTTCTTTTGCAAGCACACATAGAATCTAACTGTGCTACATCTGCAGATAGCTTTAAAATAAATTATCTATGCTATAATAACTCTGTTGGTTTTATGGCTGACATAGATGTTACTGAGACCTGACATCATTTTAGTTTTCCTTATCTCTTTATTTTGTGAAAAAGTTAAATGAATACACATATGTCTGAACTCTGGTTAATATACCTGTCCTGTATAACATATGGTACAGGAATACACAATATTAGAAAACTCTTGCATGTTTTTATCCCATTATCTAATCCAGAAGCTAAACCCTTCTCTAGTAAAAATGTTAGTAAACAAGCCAAAGCATACCAGCTATGCTAACATTCCCAGAGATAAGCATCGTTAACAAAAAATTACGACTTCTTTCTTATTATGTTGCTAGGCTCTGATGTGGACAGTAAGTACTCAAAGTGTTGCTAGGCAGAACTGTATTAAAACGCATCACATATCAGTGAATAAAGTGCCTAAGATAAGTCTGTGTATCATTCGCAGCACTCACAGAATCACAGTATTTCTCTTCCTGCTCAGACCTCAAAGCCAGAAGGAACTCACTCTGTTTCCAAGCAGTGTTGTCAATATGGAGCAAGTGGATGAAAAGCACTTTACAGATATGAGGAATTGTAAATTAGATTGAATTTACAATTGTAAATTGTAAATTCAAACTTTTTTTGTTATTATTTTGAACATTGTAATATCACTGTTCCTGTCACCCATATGTTTTGAGCAGGGAAGAAGTCTTAAGATGTCATCAATGATATTTGCAGATTTTCATCAGTGCTTCCAGGCCAGCACAACTCTGCCATTCTGGTCAGTTAGTTACACCACCTTAATTTCTTAATGTTCAATTATTCATTTCAACTTGTCAGACCTCATAGCCATGAGAATTGGAGAAGTTGGTCAGTTTTCTGGGAACTTCTTACTGGAGTTGAAGTAAAGCCTATATTTTTTCTTTTTTATTCTGCCTTTGAAGACTGCAGGAGTTGGACTTGGTGATGCTTATGGGTCCCTTCCTACTCAGAATATTCTATGACTTCCCCTCAGTCCCATGATTATGAGAATTTCAGCTCTCACTATAAAGCAAACTAAGTTTCAAGTACTCGTGGTTACAGAGAAAAAAATGAAGAGATGAATTTTAATAGATTAAAAGCAAACAGAACTTCCAGTTTATATACTTATTTTAAATATCTGATTATTTCTGGAACTTGGTCATTTTAAAATTCCTTCTGATTGGCAGTATGCTGCTTCAATACTAGTTTATTTAGCTTTTCAGTCACAGACATATAGTAACCCTAAAGCAGAAATTCCTAAGGTATCCTTTATCTCTGCTGAGTGCAAACACAAGAAAGGTGCTTAGATTCAAAG